GGTGCTGGGTGCTGGTGGTGGGGCAGAGCTCGGGAGCAGGTCGGGATCAGGGGGATCTGTCTCATCCATGGGATCAGCTGTGGTGGGCACTACAGACACCCGGAGCAGGCTGGTGCTGGCACTGGGCACTGCTGGTGCTGCAGAGTCCTCCAGTAAGTCGGGTTTAGGGGAATCTGTTTCATCCATAGACTCGGCTGTGGTGGACGCTACAAGAACCCGGAGCAGGCTGGTGTTGGTGCTGGGTGCTGGTGCTGCAGAGCTCGGGAGCAGCTCAGGCTCGGGGGAATCATCCATGGGATCGGCTGTGGCTGGCACCCGGAGCAGGCTGGCGTTGGTGCCGGGTGCTGGTGGTGGCACATCGCTCTTGTCACTGCTGATCATTGTGGTGGCACTGGGTTCCTGCCCACTGTCATCCCTCTTCCCACGGGAGACGGGCAGGGGCTCGGCCTCCCCCCAGACCCACTGCCCGCCCTGGGGCACCCTCGGCTCCAGCAGCTCAGCCCCACACACCCACAGGGGGCTCAGCACCAGCAGCACCAGCACGGCCCGGCCCAGCGCCATGGGACCTGCAGGGGACAGAAAGGGCAGGTGACATCGGGGTCCCCTCGGGAGAATGCTGAGCATGGAACTGCCCCAGTGTGGGATCACACTCCAGCCAAGGATACTCCTTCCACTCTGGACAGGGGCCCTCGGGTTTGGGGGATGGAAAAGGCACCCACTATCATCTTCCTGCCACAGCCCCCACCTGCGGGAGCTCAGCGCCGGTGGCTCTGCTCCAGGAGCAAGTTTTGATAAGGAAGTTGAGCGTCTGGAAATGGGAAATCAGCCGCGGGATGAGGCAGTTGAGGGATGAGTGTCCGTGTGGAAATGAAACCACGGGGATGTCACCTGCGTTCTGACAGACACCCCTTGCCAGGGTGCCCGTCCCCCCTCTGCCCGCCGGGCTGGCACAGGGCTCCAGGGCTGAGGCCACCATGAGCCTGTGTCTCAGTGCTGGAGCGGGAGAGGCAAATCCACCCCAAACTCACCCCAAATCCCCCTGTTCCATCACCAATGCTCCCTCCGCTCCCTCGGCAGCCCCGGTGGGCGGGCGCCACCGAGGTCCCCGAGGATCCGCACCCAACAGCATCCAGCCACGGCTCAGTGCTCCGAGCATCCCCAGGAGGCTCCCGCACCCCAAAGCACCCACCCGCCTCCCCAGACCCCCAGCTCTGAGCACCCCCTTTGCACCCAGAGCATCCCCGGGGCCGAGCCCCGATCCAGCACCTTCCCACCGGGGGCTCACCTGTGCCGAGGAGCGCGGTGGGATCCCAAGTGCAGGACTCGCGGGCGAGGGCTGGCACAGGGGGCGAGGGCAGCCAGCCCAGCACCGGCACCCGCGGGGTGTCGTGGGCCACCCTCCTCCGGCACCTCCGGCCGGGCGGGGAAGGGAGGCAGCGCGGAAAAGCGGCTGCGGTTTCCAGAGCCCGCGGGGGAGGAAGGGCGTCACGCCGAGAGCGGGGCCACGGCGGGCTGGGGGCTGCGGGCAGCCCCGGGGAGGGTGGCAGGACGTGGGCTGCACCCCAAAAAAGAGGGGCTGCCTCGGAGGGCTCGGCCCCACCGGCGGCCCCGCGGAGCAGCTGCGCGCCGGGGCTCGCGTCGCTCCGAAAGGAGAAGTGACGGCGAACCTGGTGCCAGGGCTGCCACCCCCGCGGGCACGGTGTGGGCATGGCCAGGGAGGGGGCCAGGGTGCCCCGAGATGCTTCAGCACCGGGAGGAAACGCTTTAGCACACGAGGTGCAGGAGGGTGAGGATGTGACCTGATGGTTTTGCACAGCCCTCGCGTGTGGCTGCTTCTCTCTGCATCACCCCAGGATGCTCGGAGGGGCTCTGCTGGGGCTGCGGGGACTGTTGGGTGTTGTCCTGGGTGTTGTCCCGGGTGTTGTCCCGGGTGTTGTCCCGGCCTCGTGGCACTGGCACGACAGGAAACCCCCCGCCCCAACCGCAGCTCCCGGGAGGGAGGCGCAGCCGCAGGAAGGTGCTGCAAGAGGCACATCCGCAGGAACGGGCTCGGGGTGTCAACAACCTCCCCCTCCTCGGAAACCCCGGCCCATCCCTGCTCCGAAACACCTCGCCAGGAGGCTGGGAGAGGGAAGAAAAGGGGCTCAGGCCTGTGGGATGAGCATCCCTGGGATGGATCCATGTGCCCAGGGAGCATTGACTCTCTGGGAGCATCCCTGCCCGGCTTTGGGGTGGTGCCGCGGTCAGGGTGTTCTGGAGGTGGTTGTGCAACATCCCCTGAAACGCCTCAGCCCTGAGAAAGCTCAAACCTGGGAGGAGTAAATGATGCTGTTTCCAGCCCAGGCTTTGTGTCATTGCCGACTTCCTGCAGCCTGGAAACAAATTTCACCCGGGGAAGAGCAGAATGAGCCTCCCCAAATCCAGGATAGTTCCCAAGCAGGGCTGCTCCTCTCTGGATCACCTCCATCCACCCTGAGATCCCCCAGCCCATCTGTGCCATCTCATCCCACATCCAGCCAAGCTCCAGGAGCTCCTGGCTTCATCACTGGGAATCACCTGGGAGAATTCCATGCGTGGCCCTGGCTCTGCTGGGACAAAAGCAGAAGGTCCCCAAGGACCCCCTCAGCCACAGCCCCCCACTGAAGCGTCCTTCATTCCATATCCTGGTTATCAATCAGACCTGGAACGCCGAGAGCCAAAGGAAAAGCCAAGCAGAGGCAGTTTATAATCAATGACTTTTATCTTTTGAAAATGGAAGCAAATATTTGGACAGATACTCTGGCCGCTCTATAAGAGCGCGTCTTTCCGGACTGGGCTGGTTCTCTCCCGGGATATCACGGCTACAAAAAGCTTCAGGCACTGACTCCGGTTGAGCCTGGCGAGGCATCAGTTCATTTAAATAAAATACAGGCTAGGAACTAAAATCTCCCACACCCCCACCCCCGGGCACCTCAATCCAGCGGCTCCCAAAACTGATTTCCCTCCAATGTTAGGAACAAACCCGAGGTCCCCGAGCACACAACCCTGAAGTCACACGTACAAATCAACACAGAAATCACCACTGTGGGGAGAACAACCTTCGGGTTTGGGATCCAAAAGGAAAAAAAAAAAATTCCATAAAAATACACATCTCAGGCATTTACTGCAATACAGAAACGTCACCAAACAGCCAAAGAACCTGGAGCAGCCGGATTGTGGATCCACGGGCACAGGGCAGGGGATGCCACTTGTCCCTAAAACACAGAAATCCCACTTTTCTGAAGCTTTCCTGCTCTGCAATCCCACCACATCCTCTGCCTCCTCCATCCCGTCCTCGTGCCTCTCCAGCTACGTCCCCCGGCCGATTCCGCCTCCACACACACATCCCTCCACAACAGGGAATCCTTAACCTGGAAGTTCTGAACATGCAAACACTGGTTAAAATGGAAAATCGGAGAATTCCTAGCTAAACTAATGGCAAATAAAAAAAATCAATCACTTCAGCCTGGACAAAGAGACTCGTGTCCACTGGGATGCTCCAGGTGGGAGCACACGGAGCTGCCACAGGGACAGAGTCCAGCTGGGATAAGGATCCAGAGCTCTCAGACACCTGATGGCCTCTGCCCACCTTTGGATTCAGGATGGGTTATCAGCACTCCCTGGCACTGCAGGGATGAGCTGGGCCAGGAATGGCAGCACCAATCCAGCCTGGCACAGCTTTCTGGGGTGTCCTGGATCCCATTCCCAGCACAAGGACACAGCCTGGGAGCAGGGAGCCAGCCTGCCCCATCCCTGACAGCTCCTGCACAGGGGAGACCCCGCCTGAGCAGAGCTTTGCTGAGCTGAGCTTCCACGGAATTCCAGGAGGAGCTCAGCAGCCTAGAGCACTCACAGGGCCTCTCCCTGCAGGATCCCAAAGGAGCAGTGTGAGAAACCAGTTCTCCAAACTGGGATCAAATCCATCCTCCCAGTCCCTTCAGCTCTGAAGGGCTGGGAGTGCAGGGGGGGGTTTGGGGTTGGAGGGATCTGATCCGGGAACAAATCCTTTCCTGCATGGGAGGGTGGGAGGCAGGAATGGGAATGATGGACAGGAGAAAACAAGTTATAAAATAGTAACAAGAGAGGCATATTGATTGTGGACAATTATCATGGAAAAATCACCTTTCTGCTGTTAATGCTGCCTTGGAAGCACAGGAAATTCCTATTATCAGCACTGGTGTGAAGGGCTGATGGATTCCAAAAGCTCCTTAAAATCCATGAGCTCAGGAGTGCTGTGGGGCAGGAACAAGGATTTACAGCAACAACTGCTGGCATCCCACAGCTCCCCTGGAACTCCATGCTCCATGGATAAAAACATTCCTGCATGGAAGTCACTTCTGCCTTGACATGGAAATAGAAATGAGCAAGTAAAACGAGTGAGTTTGATCATGGAAACAAACCTTGGGATTGCAGGAAAATGGGAACATGGTGCTGGCTTAAAATTTCAGTAGGAAATAAATCCCCTCAGTCAGAATGATATATTTGTATTTTTCTGTCAGCCAACAGGGCTGGGGACACGTTGTGGAGCAGGAAAGGCAGCTGATCCCATCTCCAAGGGGATTCCACAGGGAAGAGAAAGGAAGGGAACCCACCTGATTGTTCCAAATGGAGGATTTATACAAAATAGCTTCAGCTTTGTTCTCTGCACAGTGTAAACAACCCCCACACCCCCGTCCCTTGGAATGGAAACACAAATACTGCAAAAGTGGCAAATAAGAAAAATAAAAGCGA